CAAAAATTAAATAACTTAAAACGGCCTAGAACTACTTCCTCTATACTATTATAGGGGCGTATAAGATAATAAATATTAAAACGCATAAATATAAAACCTTTTACCCTTTTCTAAGGCTTAAGCTAAAGGAACTTATAGTAGCGTATATAGACTGCACGCGCGCAGGCTAGGCTAGAAAGTATATTAAAACTATATACTATACTATTAGAAATACTATTAGAAAATACTATAAGCCTAGGAAAACGCCTAAATATAAGCTAAGCCGGCGTAATATACTAAAAAGACTCGCGGTTAAGGCTATAGTACTAGCCCTAAGGTATAAAAAATAGTTAGATAACTTATATAAGCTCTTAAAATAAGAAGTAATATAGGAAGTATATAAGGAAAGGTAAAGGGATAAATAGAAGGCCTATAGGAAAAAATAAAGGGGCCCTTTTACACCGGCCCTTAATATAAAATAGAATAAAAATTAGGTAACTAAATACTATAAGCTTATAAAAGTAAAAAGCTTAATTATTACGCTTTTATAAACGGAATATATAGGGCTTAACGTATACCTGCACTATATAAGGGTGCCTAATTACCCTTTACCTGCGTGCCTTTATAGGTATATACTATAGTTTCTAAAGTATATAGTAATATACTATAAATAATACTATAATAGTAAAGGCAATATATTTTTTAAGGCTAGAATAAGAATATATATATAGCTATATAAAGACTATAAAAAAAAAAAAGCCGTTTTATAATAGTTTCTATACTAAATAAACCTTCTACTTTACCTTTTTATAGCTAAAAAAAATAGTAATAGAAAAGCTAGCTATATAGCTAGCTAACTTATATAGCTATGCCCTAAAAATAGAACTATATATATACACGTATATTATATAACTATAGGTACACCTATAATAGAGTAACCCCTTTAATTTTCTATTATCCTTTAATTTAATACCTTAGCATTTAAAAAAAAAAAGGGTATATATATATAGTAAGGGCACGCGCGCCTTAATATAGACCCCGGACCTTACTAACCTTCTAAATACTATATAACTCTAGAATCTAGGGCCTATAGATACTAGATTAATTCTAGAAAATATATTAAAATAGCTTACTTTATAGTAATACTTATAAAGCTACCACGCGTTTTCTATAGCCGCGTAGAAATAAAAGGAATATAAGGCGTTATATACTATAGAAAATAAGGTTTTTACCTAACTACTATAGAGTAAACAGTTTCCCCTTATAAATAAAACCTAAATAGCACTGCTATATAGACTTTAATAGAAGCTAAATTGGCCTAATAAAACCTAATAATAATAATAATAAATATATATAGATAATAGAATAAAGAAATATATTACTTATTCTTATTTTAATAGAAGTATTATATCTATTTTTTTTAGAAAATAATAAATAGTAGGACTAAGTATCTACTTATACTAATTACTATAATAGTTAATACCTAGTTTTAATTTCTAGGTTAAATAGACTATACCTTTTTTTTTTAATTTAGTAGAAAAACCTTATAGCTATTTATTAGAATATAATAAGCGCTATATTTCTAAGCTTCTAGAACTATCTAAAACTAAATAGAATTTTATAGAAAGATTTTCTTATAAATTAACTATATTTATAATATATAGAAGTATCTAGAATATACTAGTATAAGTATTATAAACTATACTTTTAAAGTATAGGAAAACTTTTAGTACTTATATACTTAAGTATATAGAGGCCTAACCTCTATAAAATAGAAAAATATTTAATTTAATTAATTTAACTTCTATTCTACGGAGGTTCCCTTTAAAAGTTTCTACTGCGCGAAAAAATATAGCTTAAGCCTTAATACGCTACTAAACGCCACTAGCTCGGTATATAACTATATAGCTACTTAATAACCTTTTCTGCCCTTTTTAAGACTTATATATTTAGTATAGCTCTACTAGTTTAATAAGTCTAGTTCGCTGCTGCTTTAGTAGCTAAGCGCATACAGCGCAGTATACTAGGTAGGCTATATAGCAGCTCCGTTTATATAGCTAATAGGTTATTTTCTGTAGATATAAACCTAACCGTATAAGTATTTGTTTTCGAGATTTTAGCAGGGTTTTACTCTATTTTTAATGCCCTGCTAGTTTTAAAAATATTAGGGCTATCTAGGCGCTCTGCCTCTGCGCGCTTTTTATATTTCTTTTTCCTTAATATAGCCTTTAGTAATTACTTAGCGTTCTTAGCATTTTTATTAGTGCCCTTATTATTATTAACATCTACCTAGTTATTATCGTCGTCGTTATTATTATTATTATTATTATTATTATTATTATTATTATTATTATTATTATTATTATTATTATTATTATTATTATTATTATTATTATTATTA